ACTAGAGCTCGATGGGCAGTAGTTTTAGAACAGCGTAAAGGAAATATTTCTTTACTGATTCAAATGTAGAATTTGCTGGCAGAGACTATAGTGATGGCCACCAGCTTTAAAACAGTTTTAGACAGAGACGTGGAGGACAGGTCTGCCTGTGGCTACTAACCGTGGTGACTAAAGCAAACTTCATAGGCAGTCAGAGGCAACGTCAGAGGAAGGCCTTGGCTTCTCTGCCCTGTTGCTGGCCCTCAAGAGGAACTGGTTGGCCACTGTGTGAGACAGGAGGCTGGACTAGATGGACCCTCACTGGCCTGATCCAGCAGGGCTCTTCTGATGTTCTCATGAAGGCCTCGGCCTCTCTGCCCTGTTGTTGGCCCTCCAGAGGAACTGGCTGGCCACTGTGTGAGGAGGCTGGACTAGATGGACCACTGGTGTGATCCAGCAAAGCTCTTCTGTATTTTTTGTATCTGCACGTGTGTGAGTGTGTGTGCACCTGGAAGTCTTTTTTTTTTTAGTTTTAATAATTTTTATTTAAATTTGAATGCAAACATACAAAGTTCATAACAACCAAGCGACAAATAGTGCAACATTGTATCAGAGTAAACAGACTAATGCGGTTATATAACCATCAGAGCAAGAGATTGAGAGCACATTTACAATGAAAATCTGGATTATGTGTCAGTCTTGCCTGTGAAAGGAGGTTTTTTATAGAGGCACACCACTCGAAAGTTGCCTGAGAGCAATGCTCCCTCTAAGCCGTGGAGTCTTGTGAGCAAAAATTCTACTTTGTGAGCTACTGGCATTAAAGTTGTGGGGCTAGCGATCTGGCTCCTGCCTAAATTAGTTTGCCCTGGCGCCATCCTTCCTGAGCTAAGACACAAATGTGTGAGCTGGAGGCTAAAAAAACTGTGAGCTAGCTCACACTAACTCAGCTTAGAGGGGACACTGCCTGAGAGTACAGTCCACTGGTAAGAATATTTAAGCCAATTAAAATACTGTTATTGAGGTATCATGATTGTTGATGATTCAAAAGTGAAGCCAGGTTTCAAGACTTGGATTCTGTGGCAAGAGACCGTTTTCTGTCATGAATTGTAATTAGGGAAACCAGGTACGCACAAATCTGGAGTATGTTGTGCAAGATTTTGACTGAGCAGTGTTCAATGTGTCAGTTATTTTGTCCATAAGGAATTGCTCCCATATTTTGTTTCTCCATTCCTCCACCGTTGGGGGTTTAGTCGACTTCCAGGCGGCTGTAATGGTGAGAGAAACTGCTGTAAGCAGGTACGTCGTTAGATGCCGGAGAGAATCTTCCACTTTCGTTGGATCTCTGAGCCGTAGAAGGACGTTTTCTGGTGTCATTATGGTGTTTGCGATGTTATCCTTGCTGTTTCAGCGACAACAGCCTCCCAGAAATGCTTTATGTAAGGACAACTCCACCAGCAGTGCACCTGGAAGTCACTGCGGGTATTCCAAGGAGGTCTCCCCTCCAAGTATTTGCCAGAGTTGACCCTGCTTAACGTCCGACATCTGACAAGATTGGGCTTGCCTGGACTATCCAGGTCAGAGCCAGTAGGGCTCTTCTGATGTTCTCATGAAGGCCTCGGCCTCCATGCCCTGTTGTTGGCCCTCTGGAGGAACTGGTTGGCCGCTGTGTGAGGCAGGATGTTGGACTAGAAGGACCCTCACTGGTCTGATCCAGCAGGGCTCTTCTGATGTTCTTATGAAGGCCTCGGCCTCCATGCCCCGTTGTTGGCTCTCCAGAGGAACTGGTTGGTGACTGTGTGAGACAGGATGCTGGACTAGATAGACCACTGGTCTTATACAGCAGGGCTCTTCTTACCTCAAGGACCATAAGAACAGCCCAGCTGGGTCGAACCAGTGGATCATATTTCATTTTACTTTATTTACTTTACTTATAGTCCGCCTTTCTCACCGAGATTCAAGGTGTATTACATAATTTAAAACGAAGCCATAAAACAGTACAATATATACGATACGGGTTCCCCGTACAAACTTGCCGAAATGTGAGATAGAAGCCCTACTGTGTTTTCCCCCCATTCTAAGATCTGGCCTGAAGGAGCAGCAGAGTCTGTTTGGTGGTGGCACCTCCTGGTGTTGGCCTGCGGCCTGCTCTTGTGAGAAGGAAGGGCCAGCTGAAGCCCCTCTCGTTCCCCCTGGTATTTGGTGGCCAGTGAGTTGCAATAGGTTAAGCTTGGATAGTGCTTGATGCTTGATTTTGTTCTACTTGGACCCACTGACCAGGCGAGCAAATAGGTCCGCCCAAGAGCTGCATCTGGCCCTCTAAAGCAGGTGGACACGCGGGGCCCCCGTTCCCTCTCTGCCACTCTTGATCATGTTCAGTCCTGGAGCTGTTTGCCACTTTTCCCGGAGCCCTGGCCCACTAGTCAGTGCTGCCGTCTGGCAGGCCGATGCCCCCAATGAACTGTTCAGCTGCCGGAAGGCAAGGTGAAAAACCTCCGTGGCCAGATGTCATTTCCTCCCCTTTGTGTTTCCACCGCTGCTTTTTGTAACTTTCATGTGGTTTATGGCGATCTTCACTTGCAGACCTTGGAGAGCTATGAGGAGGCATAAAAATATTACACACGCGCACGTACTGGCGGAAGTGAAAAAATGCTCTGGATATAACAGTACAAGCCACATCCCTTTCTGTAATTTAAGAGGACCATCAGAGGCGTTTGCTTTCAGTTTTCGGTGTCTTTGTAGCCGTCTTAAACTACCAAGGGCCTTCGGGCTGCTTCTGAATACTGTGTACAGTTCTGGTCACCACGCCTCAGAAAGGATATTATAGCATTGGGAAAAGTGCAGAAAAGGGCAACTAGGATGATCAAAGGGTTGGAACGCTGATGGGGTCTGAACTGGCAGAGACTGACCAAGAGAGAGATCTTGGAGTTGTGGTAGATAACTCACTGAAAATGTTGAGACAGTGTGTGACTGCAATAAAAAAAGGCCAATGCTATGCTCGGGATTATTAGGAAGGGAACTGAAAACAAATCAGCTAGTATCATAATACCCCTGTATAAGTTGATGGTGCAACCTCATTTGGAGTACTGTGTACAGTTCTGGTCACCACATCTCAAAAAGGATATTATAGCTTTGGAAAAAGTGCAGAAAAGGGCAACTCGAATGATAAAAGGGTTGGAACACTTTCCCTATGAAGAAAGGTTAAAGCACTTGGGGCTCTTTAGCTTGGAGAAACGACGACTGAGGGGTGACATGACTGAGGTTTATAAGATTATGCATGGGAAAGAGCAGGTAGAGAAAGAGGTACTTTTCTCCCTTTCTCACAAGACAAGAACTCGTGGGCACTCCATGAAATTGCTGAGCGGTCGGGTTAGAACGGATAAAAGGAAGTACTTCTTAACCCAAAGAGTGATTAAGACATGGAATTCACTGCCAAAGGAGGTGGCAGCGGCTACAAGCACAGATGGCTTCAAGAGGAAATTGGGTAAACATCTGGAGCAGAGTTCCATCAGTGGTTGTTAGCCACAAGATATAGATAGGAACTCTCAGTCTGGGGCAAGTGATGCTCTGTGTATTCTT